ACTGTCTGACGCGTCTGCCTCCGCGACCCGAAAGGAGAAGCGGCGATGGAAGATGAAGATGAAGATGTTCGATGCGGTAGAGAACAGTGATGAATTATGAAAAAAACAACAAAGTCGTCGTTCGGTCATCTCATGATACTTTCATAATGAAGACTGAATGGCCAAATTATACACATTATACATTTGTTATTTCCTTATTTTCTCATACCACTTTAACTGTATTATGTTAGTTTGTATTAATAATTGCATATTACAATCTAATTTGTTTGTGCATCTTGTGAATAAAAGTGACAGAAATAGCTTTTAGAACGTGTTTATGTACTATAGTATACAGGTAAAGAACAGAGTATGATTAACGGGTGGAGGAGGGCTAAATCTAACTTATGCAAAATTGGTGTGACGTAAGTCTGAGTGTGTTTACATATGACCTAAGACTAGCGGATCTTATATGTACCTTGTACCAGGACATTCCATTTTCTCTAATTATAAATAAAACCAAATCAGTCTATAATGGCACAGGCTGTAAAAGATCATTACATTACACGAAGGGGCGGTAACAGAAATCAATATAGCCTCTTCATGACTCCATCTCTGCATCCACACGTTTCAGATCAAGAGATGATCAAAGCATTAAGGTATGTATCGCATGCTAGGGCAAAATCTAATGTAGTTACCTCTATACTACTGCTTCTGAAAAGTTTTATCTGAACCCTCAAGATATTGACTAAAGAAGCAAGGGTTAAGCGCTGGGAAAACTTCGACCTTTCAAAATAACTCTCTCTTTCTGAGAGGAAGGCAATCTGATCGAAAATGCGAGTTTCATGCTTGGAGCTATCTTATTAATCTGTGAATCTGTAGAAACATTGTTAAATCCCTTCATACTGTCGTCTTCCCTCAGTACCTTTGCTGACAGCGCACACGCCAGGCAAATAAACGTTAGAAGGTTCATATAAGGGTTTCCATCTCAGGGACATTAATGTAACATTCTTCAGACTACTTCAATGGTTGAAGTATGATAAATCTGGCGGAGAACAGCACCTGAAAATTACCGTGTTCCTCAAACCTCTGAGCAGAGAATGACACTTGTCGTTCTTGGTATCAGAAAGGAGTTTAGCGAAATTGCTTGCATAAGCATGGTGGTCACAGAAATTCGGCAGAGGCACAACAAAGCCTTATCGCAACATCAGCCGTATAGAGTCAATGTAGGACGATGTATATTTAGCGGGTGCCATTACCGTAACAATGAAGAATGATCAGTCGCTGACCATTAAAGAAAAGGAATCATCAAAGATTGACTGATTGAATATTGAAAAGGCTTCGTATGCCTAGTTCTATTCTTTCTGAACGATAACCAGATTACATCACTTGAATATAGACAATATTATATATCTTAAATAAACAGTAAGTATCAATACTAAGAGTATGAATGGCGTACTCCGTTTAAAAGCTAAATTGCAATGATGGCTGAACTTGTCCCCGTTAGATCATCATCAGAACGATTCAACTGGTTAAACCAATACACAGAGAAATACGTGGAATAAGATGAAATAAAGATGAGGAAGAGGAGGGGAGGAGGAAGACAGAGAAAAAGGTAGAGGAAAGAGGGAAAAGAAGAAAAACACTAACTTTCCATTAATACACTCTATAAGCTAAACTGAAACTACAGACCTGATAGAACAAGATTCGCTGACTTAAACTGCTACATGTTAGGTAAGTGATAGTAAGCTAGAGAAAATTACCGTTATCGACGTTATTCAAGAAAAATACAACCGCCTCTAGATTCGCCTCTTGGACCAAGTCACTTTCGTCAGTGCTGAGATCGATGATCGTCGGCATCAGCAAAGGCAGGCACTCTTTCAGTCTGGTCATAAAAGCGCCACCGTACAACCGTGCAGTCGTCTATGAACCACTTACTTCAATGCCTTCGCAATGACAGGTATTTGCTTGCTGGCGCTGGCGCGGACGGCTGCATCGGTGTCTTTGCACAACGCCTGAATCACGGGGACGATATAACTTCTGACGCTGAAAGGTAGAAATATGTGAGGTACATCTGTATGATTACACAAGGTGAAGCAACATGTAATTAGCATAGACGAATTCACACCGAGGTACGACTTACGGGATCACCTCACTCTTGGCGAGATCCTCACAGCAGTCAAGGAAAGGCGTTTTCAGTGAATGAAAGATATCTGGATGAGCACCGAGGTGCCGCAGGTGAAGACTAGTTTCTTTATGATATTTTCCTTGGGTGGATGAGTTCATTCCCTTGATCTGCGTCGCATTTGTCCCCTTAATTATTGCCTCATTATCAATGGCATATTTACTTAATTGGTCAGCATAAATGGATTATAATAGTTGTGTTCGTCAGTATCATCAAAGGCCAATAAAACTTAAATAGCATAAGATAAGGAATAGCATAAGAACACGTAGAAGATGCCTCACTGTCTCAGAGAGTACCTCAGTTTTTAGAGGGCAACTTTCGCTATCGCGGCGAAGGTCAAACTCCTTGTCACAACGGTACCATACAAGGGAACTATGAGGTACTGCAGAG